GTGCTCTTAAAGATCTTTATGAACCTTTATTTTTAAATTTAAAACGACCACTTTCAGAAAGAAGCTGGAGCTGTTATCTGAACACCACACCATTTAAGCAGCATCCAATACTAAGTATGATGTTGCTTTATTAATCACATTAGCAAAGTTGAATTCTGCTTGCATAGTGGTACTGGCACTTTTATGAAAACTGCTCGTCTTAAGCTAAAAGTATCCTTTATTATAGGATGATAAAAATATAAAATTGTGAAAAAGAAAATAAATTATCAATGATTATGTCATTTTGTAGACAAAAAGAAAAGTGCTTTTTTTTAAACATCCATGAGAAACAGCCATGAGAAAGCACAATACACTGCACACATTAATTTATGCATGTCTATCAAACAACATTATTTGCTATTAAAAATCATTGAAAATTAAATATAACAGTGTTTGCCTCGATTTAACACACACTAAATTTTAATTTGCCCTTAAATTCAGATTTGCATTATCTCTAGGAAATGACAACTAACTAGGTGAAACAATAATACTGAAATTAGTAATATAGTAAGTATCTGGCTCTTATAAAAAAGCAAAAAAATGTGTGTTTAAGAAATATATGCATATAAATATGACTATAATCAACATATCATTTTATATCCAATGAAACTAATTGCAAATTCAATTTATTATATATTTATAGAAATTATGAGATGAAATGCAACAAAAAGGGTTTAATAACATAGAGTTTACAACAAACTTTAATTTAACTGTGCATAATGGCATTAAATAGATACTAAAACCAAAAATATACTTTCAGAGGAAAGATTCTACCTATGTTTTAGTAGAGATTTCTCAAAATTACAGTTTTACAAAGATTTCCCTATTAAAAAGAAAAAAAACCAAAAGAAAAGAAATTTAGAAAAATATAAACCACAAGCAAATAAATCAGATGTGAGACTTCACCATAATGCAGGTTCTTGACATATTAACATGTACATGATGTGGGTAATTCTATAAATCATACATACATAGTATAGGACAGCACTTTATTTACAGTATGAATCCATAAATATGCATATGTATATAACTCATATAGAGCTATTATGGCATTCCTTTCTTGTGATGCCTGTTCTGACTCAGTGTCATGTGGCACAGAGGAGAAAGCACATGCTGGTTACGCTAAAGTGTGCAAGGTGTGACATTCACCAGATCATGATATCTTCACAATATATACCATTAGAAAATTTTTCAATAATATTTCAATAACTGAGAAAATATAATTATGTGATTAAATCACGTCATCAATATAAGACTCAACATAGTCTTATGTTTTGTGGCAAATCTCTGTTCACAGTCCTCTGAAAAGTTACGGCAGCATTCTTAATCCAAAGGGTGAACCATAAAAGCATATTGTCCTTGGCATGTCACAAAAGAAAAGAAGTGTTCGCACTCACGGTTTAGTTGTATTAGACAGTATCCTTTGAGAAGATAAATCAAAGGGACATAATTAGACTTTTGACACTTGATAAATTAGATTTGTTGCATTTTTGATTCAAAAGGCATCAATTTCAGTTTGTAATTCAGGTAACGGCATATAATCTTACAGTTTTGTCTTTCTTTGACACACAACTATTCGATGAGCACATTCCCTTTCTAATTCAATAATTAGTCCCAGCTATAACAGCTCATCTATTTGTCGATCAACTTCACTTTTTAAAACTTTGTGTATTCAGTAAGGCTTCTGCTGCTTTGGTACGCAAGCAGAAATTACTTATCTTGTTTTTCAGTAATTTTAAAATCGTGAATAAATTCAGAAAACTTTATGACATGATACAATAATTATGCTTTATAAAATGAATTTTTTAAATTGTCAATTTTTAATATCTTTTTAAACAGAAATTCCTTTCTACGACTGTGTGTCCATATGACAAGATGAGAATCAATTGCAATTTTCAATACTTTTTTACTAATGACAGTAACAAAATAAAAGAAGAGAAACATGTCAAGAGAAAGACATTAGAATCACAAAGTAGAAAATATACTTCCTTATTATTACAGCCTCTTGATTAAAATAGCATCAAGACCTTCTTGTTACTGAACTGTATGAAAGAGGCAACCTTAGGCTGAACTCTTTTAACTGTTGCCACATAGCCGGAAATTCTGAACACGTTTGTTCATCATGAAAAAAAGCTATGAATCGGGTTGCTGCTTTGGTAAGTCTGTTAACAAGAGAGCTCTTGGCACTGTTTAAATAATGGAGGGCATTGATAATAAGGAAATGCTGTAGATAATTTGGATAATTTTTTTTATAGCTTTTTTTCACAGAATACTCCAAACAACATGAAAAACTTACCACAGGCTTCCTGCAAAACAAATCTATTTTGTTTTAATACCATTATTACACTTTTCCCTTCTTATACACTTTTCTGGATTTTTAGAGAACTTTGCAGAAATAAGAAAGAGATTTTTTTAAAAAAAACCTTGGTAAGAAAGCATCATATGTGTGGCGACACACTGCTTTCTGTGGCAACCCTAAAGAATTCGTCTGTCACTAGGATCCAGAGAATGAGAGAATTGTTAAGAGTTACATTTCGCTCTGAGTATCTAGGGCAGTTAAGACAGCAGTCTACCAGAAATTACAAAAATAAACCTCTCTCTGTAGAAAAAATTGTCTTGCTGGAGGATCAAAATAAAAAACATGCATATTGGAATTTAGCATGCGTTATTCAGGTGATCCCTGGTCGAGATGGCAACATACGAGTTCCTCTTGTAAAAAGTAATAATTCTTGACACACCAATACTGAGATTGTTTAGAGTGGAACTGGATAATATATAATACTCAAAATGATCAAGTTCCTTTCACCACCAGTAGTGGTAGAGTTGTAAAATCACGAATATTGTAATTCACGTCTTTGAGTTATTATGATTTATTTTGTTGTGCTATTATTGTTGTATTAATTTTGTTTTCAAGTAATATGATTTAAGTTTTAAGTAATTTTCTTTGTTATATAACCCTCATTTATATTGATGTAAGTTTTATGTTTTGAGTGTGTAGCCATCCATACAAAAGGTAGGAGAATTGTGGCGACACACTGCTTTCTGTGACAACCCTAAAGAATTCGTCTGTCACTAGGATCACAGCCCAGATGCATTACGTCTACGTCTGCTTTTCTGTTTGATAGTTAGTTGTATTTAAGATTTTGTAGAATAAGAAATGGCGTGAAAAATACATGTTGGTTTTTTAAAAGGTGTCGGCTCAGATTTTCGAACCTATAAATTACTTATTAAGCAACAATATGAATTTCGCAACACATATTTAAGTATACCAAAAGACTTACATTGGAAAAGACATAAAAATTAGAACAAATTAATTTTGGACATAATTGAAATAGGTCATTTGTTTTTGTTATAAAGATTAATTAACAAATTCTGCTTTATAATATTTATTATCTTATTTAACTTTCAGAATCAAGATATTTAAATCCTCAAAATGAAAGGTAAAGACAGTTTAACACAGTCAGACACAATTTTTAAAAAATATAAAAAATTGACAGACATACATGACAGACAGACACAATTTTTAAAAAAAATTTAATAATACTTTCTGAAAAAAAAATATATATACACTATTGTTATTTTAACAATATCATAATAATGCTATTACAATTGTTAAAAAAATTGTCATGAAATTCAAAAATTATTGAATCCAAATTTAGTCATATTCAAAGTGATTTTAAAACTGCAATATTTTGCAATGGATAATAGGGAGGTCACATTACAGAAATGATTGTTTTTGTGAAATAAAGAGAATGAAATTAAATGATAACCTGAATTTCAGCACTCTAAATACAAACTTAATGGCTAATCTTCAAATGGCCACAATTTTTAGTCATTTTGCAAAAAATTACAAAAGTCATAACAAAAGTAATTCTGCAAGTAAGATATAAAAATTAGAGCAGTTTTTGTGAAAGTGTGCAGATATAAAGTAATCAAGGGTTTATATGCCTTATTAGAATCTACAGTCTGATAAAAAATTGCTTCATCAGCCAATTACCATTGTCAACATTTTTTAAACTTCTTTATTGACCAATTCTTCAACTAAATATGTGACCCTTTCCAAATTTAGATTGCTCTAATATCGCCAAATTTTTTCAGAACATCCTTTCACTTTTCAACGATTCTGTTTAAATCTTTGATTCAAATCAGGGCTGGATTTATGTATAAGCTACATAAGCTATAGCTTAGCCCCCGCCCCCAAAATTAAAATATAGTATAAATGGTATTAAAATAGATTATAACAGACTTGTAAAGGGCTTCATATCTCAAATAGCTTTGGGCCTTATCAAGTATAAATCTGGCTTTGATTCAAATCCATTAAAAAAAATTTAATTTCCCAATATTAGTTGATGGAACCATGATCATGAAATTCAACCTTTGATTTTTCTGAAGGTCATGTTTCCATCATAGCAGTTTAAAGCATGGTTGTAAGGTCAAAGTTTAAGAAATAATTTTCAGCAAAGGAGACCATATTCTTGTTGTTGATGCCTATTTCAAAAGGTTATATGAACAACCAACAAGACACACCAGAACTTTTGTTCTATGGTGGTTGGTTGTTCCTCTTTGTTTACAATGCCAATTTGAGATGTCTGCGTTACGAGCTGCATGGAGTAAACTCAACATTCATCTGAAATGTTAATTCACATTAAGAATGACAGTCACGGTAAAGGGATGGAAATGTTAACTGAGCAAATTAAGGATTGATTGTTTGCAAATTCTGACCAAAATTAAGGATTTTTAAAAGTCAAAAATCATTTTACAAAAACCTAAGGATTTGTAAGGCCTCTTAAGGCCTACAATAGCCCTGAATTATGTATTCATTTTATGAAGATTTAAAAAATATTTCATGTGTAACAATTATTTTAAATCAAAAACTGATTTTAATATATACTTTTGAAATAACATTACGACTCAAAGAATAAATTCATAAAATTTATACATGACAAAAATGGAAAACTCACTCTTATTTTTTTCTTCTTTTTACGAACATATGTTTCTTCATAATCTTCAACATCCGTGTCTGGATCTTCAACTTCACCCATATCAAAATGCTCTGCAGTTTCTTCAAAATCTTTATACCAGGAATCTTTTGAATCTTCAGTTACTTTATCAGTGGTTTCTTCTTGTATTCCACTCATTGAATTCTCGTTAGTTGATTGATGATTTTCTACATATTAAATTTCTTTTATTAAAAGACAAAAATCTTAAAAAGGTACAAAATAATTTTAAATGCTTTGTATCAATTGCCCCATTTTCAAGATAAAGAGTGAGTTATTTTTCAATTATAATAAGCATGACTTTAACAATGGCATTACAAAATACAATCAATATTTTACATATATATCACACACCTGCTTAACCAGAAACCAGTTAGTCACATAAAATTGACATTACCAACTAAGTAGTTTACCAACATTGTTCTGTATTGTCTACTTCCAAGTAACTATTATGCTGGCCAATAACCAAGGCCATTTTAGGAGAGCAATTACATTCTGTTTTGAACATGTAGTAAGGTTTAAAAGTAATGCACTGTTTGCAGATCACTCGCGGAAAGTAAAGTTGAATTCATAATTCATAAAAATTATAATTAACATTCTAAAAACTGACCTTTTTCTGCTGATGTTCATGAAAAGCACTATTTTCATCAGGCATATTCAAAAATACAATTCAAAAATTCAATCACTCATAGCCTAACACTTCTTTACTTATGTACAAGTAAGTTTTAGCCTCATAGGCAGATTCTGTCTTAATTGTATTTATCCTAATCATAAACATAATAGTTCAAAATTTTATATCTTTCATATAAAATATCACATTGTGAAATAAAGATCAAAAGGTTATCTATACTTTACAAAGAATAAAGAAATGAAAAATATTAATGTGGCAATGCACAATGCCACCAAAAAATATTTTAAGTGGCTATCCAGATATGTGCGTAGCATACATGTGTTTTCAATACATGTGGATTTTCCCTTTCGAATTAATTCAACATCCATTTTTCTGATTAGCATTTCTTTTCGAGTGTAGTACATTTGTTTTTGTTTCAATATATCATAACAGAGCTGTGGAGTCTGCTCTCTTTTACATTTATTATGTTGAAATGTACACTGAAGTTTCAACTGTTCTTGTCTGATTATGATCATGGTGGTGTACAGTACTGATTTGGGGGAGCACAAACACATATGTATAGGGAGAGGGTATATGGAGGCTTTCATATGTAAAAAAAGCACAGTGCTCTACTGGAATCTAGTCCAAAGTGCATGCTTTCTGCATCATTCTAAATACGCTCTGTTGTGTGCTGTGGTATGCAAACAGTGGATCTTCTGGTACATGTTTTTATGTCATGAAGCCTTCTAGCAACTGCAGATTGAGAAACTCGGGTTGCAGTGATAGCATACAGCTCACAAGAGAGCTGTGAGGCTGTAGCAGTTGTGTGCTGCTGTACTGAAAGTCTCAAATAACAATCCTCATTCATAGTTGTGGCTCTTGGTCGACCTTATCCAAGTTTTCTCAGCATGTCCTAAAATTGTTTCCACAAATTCCTAACATTGCATCCTAAAACTGTTCCCACATCTCATTCCGTCATCCATATGTTTGTGGATATTCACTTTACTCATACTTCATACTCATATCCAACTCTTGGCGAAACATGGCGAAGGTCTTGAAGGAGTACGAGCACACAAATCGCTAAAAATTCCTTGTGCACTTACATCTCCTCCACAATCACAGCTTTGCAGACTTGTCTATGTGTGCTATTCAATTCTGAATATTTGCATTACTCTTTGGCAGCATAAGTAGAACCTTGGGTTCAATACATTTTTGTGAAAATAGACATAATTGCAAATTCTCTTAATTTTGCACGAGTGTATACATGGGAATTTAATTAATTGAGATTCAGATAAGCCTTAAGCACATGCAAGAAATAGACTTAAGTTTCATAAATAATGAAACTAATATAATTCAAGTTTACCTTCCTTAATGCATAATAGAAGCAATATAAAATTTAGTGGAACAACATACCATTAGTTGCCAATTTCATGAAACATCACCAACAGTGTATGAAAGATGCTAACTAAGCTATATGATTATAGCCATTAATTTAAAAGTTTTCGGATATCGCAAAAAGCAATTTTTTTTTCAATTAATATTTTCCAATTTCCACAAGTGGCAATAAATGAATATGATATAACATAAGTATCCCATCATGATGACAATGCTTCAATAATGAACCATTTAAGAGACAGCGAAATCTGTAGTATCTTAGTATGACTTTAACATACTACAGTTAATCTGTAGTATGATTTCAAATCCAGAAAACAAACCTGTTTGTTTTCAAATAAGTTATGCAAAATGTATTATTTCATAAAAAAATAAATACTCATAAAATTCAGAAACAGAACTCGCATAAGTATCCTGACACTTCGAATACAGCTTATATTTAATAAACACACAAAAATAATGGGACATCAAATATTTCGTTGGGTATCCATAAGCATTTCGCATGCTTTAGCATGGATTAAATTAATTTTTCATTTAAGAAGGTTCTATTTGTTCCACGAATTACTTTTAGCTCAGCTTTTGATGGTAACTTCAGAACAGTTGTATAATAGACACAAGCAAACATTTAGGGCTGTATGTTCAGGATTGTTTTCCTGATTGAATTTGAATGTATTTTGCATAAGTTTTCTTGAAGACACTTTCAAGTTTTCATTAAGAATATTAATCCACATTATTTTCAATAAACACTCAATTTCTTATTCCAAAAGTAGTGAAACATCCCCAAACTGTCATATCCCATATAATTTATTTCCTAAACAATATTGATTAATTGATTATATTATCTCCTAAGTTTAATTAAAGTAGAATTATTTTAAAAGAGTGAATCCATACTGGTAAGTTATATTTCGAAAGATGTTTTGAAGTAATTTGAAAGCAAAATGTTAATAATGTTTTAACGGGGACTAGAGTTAAATCATCATGAAGAATAAAATTTCAATTGTAAAAGGAAAAATTAAATTAAAAACATGTAATCATTGTCATTGATCGGAAATTAGTTGACTTTTCAAGGGGAACAAACCAACTCCCGTTCAATGAACAATAATTGATAAAAATACGTAAATACGAAAGGTGTTTCGTCTTTACTCGAGTTATAAGTTAAAGCCAAACCGGCAATTCTAGTCAGGCCAAATATTTCCGCGAATAGAAGGGATTATGATCCAATGCTTGATACTCAAAGAACTTATTCTTATGAAGCAATTTTAGTCAATTCAATTTGGAGTAAAAAGCAAATTACTGTAGAGAAATCCGAAAAACTCGAGTAACCGTCCCCGACACCTTCATGTTTATGCATTTGAGTTCTATATTATTTGTAAAAATTAAACATTGGAAATTGTCATTATGAAATCGAATTCAAAGTAAAGTTGAAATAAACATAGAAGATTACAAAAATAAGATAAATAATGCAAAGTTTGTAAAAAAATCAAATCAAAAATAATATAAAAAAATATAAAAAATATAATAAGAACAGTGAATGTACATGAAGATATAAAGGCCAGAAAAGGTATTAAGTAACTTACATTCTTTCTAGTTGGGGAGTTGGCAAAGTGTTCTCTTCGTGTCTGACTCATAAGTGTTGGGTGTCCGAAAATTCTTAGCGGCAGTGGGGGCTTTGAATAATATCAGTCGGTAAGACTTGGGTGAAGTAATTTATGGTAGTGGGTTGGACTCGGAATTCTTGAGGGATGTATTATGTGGAGTTCTTATTTGAGGGAGAATGTCTGTTAAGATTTTTTTGAAAATACTAGTGAATGGAAATTAATTAATTTCTGGCTAATTGTCGTGTCACAATGATTAGGAATTTAAGAAAGGAAAAAACGAATTTTCACTGTCCAAGAGCTATTAGACAGACTAAAGTCATGAAATAGGCCCTTTTTATGTATATATATATATATATGAACCTATCAAATACCGGTTTTGTAACGCACCTTAAATTAGTTTTCTTGTCTATACAAATATAAACAAATCTTCTTATAATAGTTTTAGCTATACAATGGTAATTTTAGGTATATAGTTCTAATTTAATTTTAAAAATTCTCTCTATTAAATCTAAATATTATGTTTCTTAAGCGATTCTAACGATTAACTTTATTACAAATTATATGTTTTAATATTAGGAAAGTTTAAATATTTATTCTGTTTTCCAATTACTCTAGCTGATATACTTTGATATATATTTAATTTATAATATGCATTTAATTAATAATAAATGGTAATTATGAGCCTCTACAGCACTTTCACCATTAATAAAAAAATTCTGAGCTTCCTAATATTCATATCATGGGATTTTTAATTTCCTCTTCATCCATTTTTTTCCATATATTGTTGAACTGTATTCAAGTTTTCACGTAAGTAGAATTTGTATATGTTTTATTCCTTTATGCCAATTTATACTTAAATGGTTATTTTCATAAACTCCTGCATCATAACTTTAGTTAAAAGAAGTTTTTAATACCTTGGTAAGATTATCTTCAATATGCAGTTTATTTTTCTAATCTAGTTTCAAGCTTTATTATTTATAAAGCTAATTATTGGAAATTACTTGGGAAAAAAAAGATGGTTGCTAAATCATGCGAATAATACTTCTAACTGTTCTAATTTATAATAAAATTGTGATTTATTACATACCTCATTTATAATTTTTATAAAAATTTTCAGCAGCATCAGAATTTAACAGCAGATACTGCTAGCATTATACATTTAAATTACAATGATTTAGATTGCCATTTCCTTCTTTACTAATGCTTTTAAGTTATATTCCTAATATTTCATAATGGCATACAGATAAGTTTAACTACATAGCGTATTCAGAAACTAAGTACCTTTTCATTCTAGCGCCGTCGCAGCGCCGTGGTAGGCATCCCGCGCATGCGCACTAGTCTTTCTTGTTCACTGACTTTCAATTGTTGCCATTTTGGTTGCTCTATGTTGTGTTTTCAGCTTGCTGTGCACATTCAAAATGTTTAAGACAATTAGTTCTCCCGCTGACTGTGAGATTCATGCAGTGGTTAAATTTTTGAACGCGAGGAATGTTAAACCAGCCGAAATTTATCGTCAAGTGACAGAAGTTTACGGTGAATACGCGATAAGTGATGGAATGGTGAGAGAGTG